AAAGTTTTGAACCAACCCTTTATTTATTTATTTATTTATGAGTTTTAGTCTTGTGCAAAATTTGTCCAGTCTTTTCACGTTTTTCTTTGGACATTGGCTGCTTTTTCACCGGTTTTCAGAAGAATGTCGTTTTGTTTGTTAAGCTCCTTACTCAGGAAATGTGTTTTGTGTCTAAACATAATACAGCTTAACAAGGAACCAGTTTGTAATCTTATCTTTATCTGCTTCGTTACTAGCAGTCAACAGTCAACTGTTCTATTTGTTCCCCCTTGTTTTATTCGAGTCTACCAAAAATATAACCTAGTTTGATGCATAGTATTTTTGCACTATTTTGCAAGACCTGAGAGATTTGTCTGGCCCTTTAGTCACTGAAGTTTAATCAGAAATGGTCTCAAATGAATGACGTCTGTCAAGAAAAGGAAGGGAAACAGAGAGAAAAGCTGAAACATGCCAAACTACACAAGAACTGGAGTGAAAATTAACATTTTTGGTTCAAATTATTGTCAGTTCAAATTAAAGATCAGGAGAGAAGCATGACAGTGAGTGTCTACAGTCATTTGTAAAACACCGTGGGTCCTCTTTCGTGGTTTAGGGCTGCATTTTGGCCAGGGGTGTTGGAAATCATGTCAAAAAATATGGAAATATGAACACAGAAAAGTATAATCAGAGTTTGATCCACCTTTCAATGTCATCTGGAACGTTTCTGATTGGCAATAGCTTCGTTTGTCAGTATGAAAATTATCCCAAATATTCTGCCATTGCTGTAAAAGCTGGATATATACATACACAACGGAGAACTATAAGTAATCAACTTCCCTCAACAGAACCTGAACTTTGACATTACTGAAGCAGTGTGGGATCATCTTGACAGAGAACAGAACAAAAGGCAGCCAACATGCAAAGGAGACTTTTGAAAGTCCACCGAGAAGCCTGGAGAACTATTCCTGAAGCCCACTTAAAGAAAAAGAAAGAAAGAAAAGAAAGTTTGCCTAAAAGCATTCAGGCTGTGTTAAAGACTAAAGGAAGTCAACTTTCAAGCTTGTTTGAATTGTTCCACAACTCCACGTTTCCACGAGTATGTGCACATGTGGGTACTATAGCTCAGGCAGTAGTGCAGGTTGTTTACTAATCAGAAGGTTGGTGGTTTGATCCCTGACTGCTCCAGTCTGCATGCCAAATAATCTTGGGCAGGATACTAAACTTAAGTTGCTCTGTGATGCGTCCATCAGAGTATGAATGTGTTGGATGGTAAGCTACAGAGGCCCTCATAGGACACGGGAGGAAAAAAGATGTACTTTTGCGAGATCCTGAGAAAGACTTTTCTTCCCGGCGCAGGTACGTCTGCTAGTTGTTAATGAATTCAACCAGGTCGGAGTAGGCCTTGGGATTACTTTGTCCCCTTACACTAGGAACTCTCTTCAGATGTCTTTGACTTTTATTAAAACAACTGTATCTGCTGCCAAGCAAGGATTTCCTGTTTTCTTAGTTTAGGCCAAGCGCAAAATAAAAATCCATGAATCTCTCCCACAACACAGGATAGCCTTGCCCTTTAACACGGTTGTTCTTTACTTCTTTTTTTTTGTGCATTTTACTTCTAATTTTGAAAACAGACTCTTGTAGGAGTTAACTTTGTAATGGAGTACTTCTCCACTGTTATACTGCCACTTGTTCTTTAGTAAAACAGCTCAGTAATTCTTCCACTGCTGGCATTGTATGTCTTTGAGATGAGACTCATTCCCATGTCAAAACTTTATAGCAGTCAATACTGAAATGTTATAGGAGATAATAGTTGAACAGCCCATCTGTCAGAGGAGTCACAACTTTATAGCGGTGTATCTTCCTTGAGTTGTTAGGGATTAAGTTGTTCCTCTCCACTGCATTCTGGGCCAAACGAGATTGTTGGGGCGTGTAATGATAGCTGGATCATAAAGAAATAAAAGCAGGTAAGTTGTCCAATAATGGTGTTGGAGACAGGCAATAAAGTAAGATGAAATGAGGCAAAGTTCCTAAACCAAAGTTTGGATGATCCACACACTGAATATCACATGATAAGATACTGTATTGCAATAACAGAGATAATAGCAAAGATGTTTTGCT